TTTATTTTTCGTTTGATTTTCTATAAAATATATCATGGCAACTCTGAAAATCGAAGAATTGTAAGCGTTTTCAAAACCGAAATTTTCATTTCCGTTCTCTGGCTATATTTTATCACATTAGCACGCGTGGACAATCACGACAAGAATTGATGAGCACGTGTAAACGTATGAAATCAGTAGATTCTTATCGTTTAATCGCTGAAGAGATAAAAACGAGTTTTTTACAACCGAATACTATTACTTTTGCCGTTAAAGCGCAGATATGTTTTATTAGTGGTATAATGCAGTTATATGAGAATGAATCGATCGCGAGAATTTTTGCATTTTAACGTTATATTTGCAACTAGGTGTTAAACTTGTTCCGAAATTGACCTTTTCTACGTCTTGTATCAATGGTTGTGATAACCTGATTCAGTTTAGCACTCGATAAGATAAAAGCGGAAAGGATTTGATGTAAAAACTGAATAAAAAGAAAATAGAATAATAAAATATCGATTAAGAAGAGAACCAACAGTTGAAAGAAAATGGTTCTAAGGCTTCTGAAAAGAAAGATAATTTCATCGCACGATAAAAAGCATAAATCAATCTTTATTTAAGTACTCTCTACTATGTTTGGAAATTGAAAAAAATGGAAAATATCCTGTTTACTATGCGCAAGCTTTACAGTAATATCGTCTATATCAATTGTTACGATATTTGGTGGGTCAGTTAGTTGTCCCAAGAATATGAATGGATTGACAACATTTTTCTTCTTGATTGAGAGTGAGTCTCGTCGATCAATTCTTATTGTATGAACTACTGCATAACATTGTTTCCTTGAATTATGAATGATAGCCATAATAAAACCGTAATTCGTTTCATGCTTCTCTTTGAATAACACACAAAAATCACAATTGCTACTATTTGAGCTGGATTCATAAACAGAGAATTGAACATTATTTTTCCAACATGTCCCATGGAGAGAGAAGTTAAAAATTTGTTTTTGGTCGTAAGTAGACCATTGCGATATGATCATTTGGTAAGTCTAATTTACGACCAAGACGAAAAGATTTATTTTGTTTGGTTGTTACTTGTCTTGGAAGTGCTTGACGCTTTGAGCAAAACATACGACATATGAATAAATGAAGAGGTGAAGCGTAATCCATAGTATCAAGTTCAGCTGTAGCACATTTTTAAATGTTTATGTTATTTGTCAATTCAGAAACGATCAGATTAGGCCCATTTACTGATTGAACTATAGAACCTATAATAACGCACAGTAGACAACCACTTTGATGAAAAGAATAATTATTGTGCTTTCAAAACATACCAATTACGCTTTCGAAATTAAACGTTGAATAGTTCTGCACAGGACCGAAATCTTTTAGCGTTTGAGGTACATGCACCATGGAATGTACGACAGACGTCATTGGTTTTTCTTAAAAAATTGTTGACTGTGAAAAACATACAATTTAAAAAGGTGAGACGCGCTGAAAACGAGCTGTGATACCCTAATGGTCACAGATGGATCCAGTCTATCTTGTTTCGTTCTCATTCACATCCATCTAGAGGACATCAACGACAGCTAGTTTTATCATTAAGCACGAGTAGAGATACTTAAATAGTCAACAATTGTGTCGGACAAACGTTCTAAGATTCGCTCACAATATTTCTTATCTCTATCACACCTGTAAACTCTTGTTTCATCCCACAAGCAGACCAGAATAGAGTGAAACAAGAGATTGTGGTTTTTCAGACACAAGTAATGTTTTTTAAAGCAGACAGTCTTTAATGAATATTTATTATGGAAGAATTCACAGTGAGTGAATTATTGACCAAATCAGAAATCTTTACAATGAAACTTAACTCGACGAAAAGAGTATTTACTGAGTTATTTTTAGTCTAATCAAATAGAGATCCACACTTTAACTAAAAGATGAATTTGTTTTTGATAGATGCGTGTGTTTCTGGGTTGAACAATTATTTTTTATATTGTAATATCACCCAAGAAAAATTCATAATGAGACAATTAGGAATTGGGAATTATTCTTTTTTCACACACATTAATTCGAGTGTAATCCAATCCCTACACGATATACATTTTTACGATATAAGAAATTTCTTTTGTTTTGTCAAATTCATATTTTATGCCTTGAAAAGTGAGAGTCATCATTTATATATGCCACAAACTGTCGCCTGTTCATATCTCATGAGTGATTCGAACGAAATTATAATGTCGAATATTCACTCATTCAGTAATATTAGAGAAAATGTTTATTTATTCTCACAATCAATATGTTTTTTATAGCATTGTGAGGCAAGCAAGATGATCTACTTACTGAGTATAACAATGGAAATAATTTGTCGAATTCATTTATCAAAATCTCAATTGTTTCAATGGTACTATGGCATAGAACCGATGATTCAGATAAATTCATTGCGTACGCCAACAGCTCCAGGTGTTGGTAATATGGTATAGGAAGAAATGATTTAAAATATCTATGTAAGTATATATGTATGTATGTAAATAAAAGATGAATTCTCTTTATCTTTCAAGCAATTTTTACCCTACTAAAGATCAATGGCTTTTTTCATACTCCTGTTTGAACGATTAGAATAAATGTGCAGAAAAAAAGACTAGTACAATAGTTTTCCTCTGGGATTTGTTTTTCAGATGTCTCAAATTACTGATTCGCTGTTCTTTAGTTTAACAACTGCTTGATTAATAATCAACGGACATATTTGTCTTATGGAAGAGTCCCTGCTACATCAATAATACGTGTGTTAGGTAGTGGCGCTATCTGCGACCACTACCTCTCTCTCTTTGTCTCATATCTTCTATTGATCAAGAGACCTAAGGGATAATAGATGGACAAAGGAGGGAGAAGAAGAAGTGGTAATAAAGTAGTCAAGTTAGTGAGAAGACTAACAATTGGTGCCGTGACCCGCTTCGACAATTCGTCGAATATATAATTAATTATTCTTATTTTGATTTTCTCGATTTATTTCGTGACTGTATACTTATTGGCTGTTCTACTTGGTATTTATCCTGTATGGTGACAACTCGTTTACAAAGTCATCAATTATTTGCACAAGAAGCACAACGTTTATCTCTTATTGATATGGAACCTTCTGACACCTCACCTTCTTCTCATTCCACTGTTTATCGACCATTATTTACATCGAATATGGAAGCACAATTTATGAGTACATTAGCGAAAGAACAAGTGAAAACTTTAACTAAATTTAGTGGTTCAGAATCGGAAGATGTTATTCATTGGCTTAAACATATTGAAGAAGTTTTTGATCGTGCTCTAATACAATCGTCCAATAAATATCTAGCAGTCCAATCGTATTTAACAGATGCAGCACTTAAATGGTTCCGTTTTAACAAGACAAACATGCCGGATTGGTCGTCATTTAAAATCGCTATCGTTCAAGCTTACCAACCATCAATTCATCAAGCTTTACTTAAAATGGAACAACGAATTCAACTACATGGTGAATCAGTCATGGAATATTATTATGATAAACTTAATCTATGTGTACAAGCAGACGCTAACATGAGCTCGTCGATGATTATCCATTATTTAACGAAAGGTTTGCACGATTCATTAATCGCTCATGTTATTCGCAAACATTCAGCAACACCCAATGAATTTCTTAATATTGCGCAAGACGAAGAAAATTTTTTATTAACATGGAAAGGCTTATCGTCTACTTCAATAAATGAACCTGATCGTTATCCAAATGAAGATATTTACATGGATCATAACGTAAATGTTGTTAAACGTCCAATTAATATACGAAATCAATCCTCTAATTGGCAACATAATCAATCACCTCCACAACCACTTATGCAAGTACCAATTAATTCATTTCCATCGTCATCTCGTCGTTCTTCTTTTCAACCTCGTCCTTCATCATTTGCTTCACCACAATGTTACGAATGTCAGCGATTTGGACACATTGCCAGATATTGTCCTAATCGAAAAAACTTCTAAGGAGGTATCGAGATGGTGGTACCTCTATGAAAAAGAAAAAACCATCACCCCTTTGTTCATCATCAATTGAAGTTCCTGTTAATAATATCATCACCAAAGTGTTAGTTGATACAGGTGCAGCTATATCTCTTATACATGAAACAACATTACAAAATATGAAACATAAACCAATTGATGCATGTTCGCTAAAAGAAGTTCATACCGCTAATAGCGGATTTATATCTCTTATTGGATTAGTACATCTTAATGTTCAAGTTAATCATCTTAATACGGGTGTTGATGTATATGTTACTCGTGATCTTGTTTGTCCAATGTTATTGGGAAGAGATTGGATTCAAATGAATCATGTGAATATTAATTTTTACACAAATCGTATTTATCTTCATGGTGGTATTACTTCTGTTCCTTTAGTACCTATTCCTCGTCATGAACCATTAATTATGTCATTGCAACATACTATTACTATTCCACCATTTCATGAAAAATTTATTTCTGGGTATGTACCAATTAAATCATCAAATGATGTATTGTTTACGCCGAATTTAGCACTACAACATACAAAACTTGTCCTTGTTCCGCATGCTATTTTACATATTCGTGATTATCATGGTATTATCTCCATTAGAAATGATACACATCGTTCGAAAACTATTCCTCGTCATACTTCACTCGGACTTATATCTCAATCAACTGAACAATTAAACATCAATATTATTCATAAACAGACCACGAACAATCGTAATCCTCCTTCTATTTCTTCATCTTTAGTTTCTTGTACTCATTGTGCTAGTCAATTTTGTAATGAACAAGAACTGTATCAACATTTTCTCATTTGTTGTAATAAACATTTATTATGTGAAAATAAAACAATAGACGCATTAGTCAAACATATAAAAGATCCTACTCAACGTATGAAAGCTTATCTAATAATTCACCAATACGAACAACTTTTCGATGATTCATGTGTGAAGGGAATTAGCTGTTCTCCTCAATCAGCTATCAACACGGGTGATCATCCGCCTCTAGCTACAAATCCTCGTCGTATTTCAACCCTTAACAGACAAATTATAAATGATGAAGTAAAGAAAATGTTAAATAGTGGAATTATTAGTCCTTCGACTTCACCTTGGGCTTCTCCTGTCGTTATTGTTAAAAAACATGATGGATCTCCTCGATTTTGTATCGACTATAGAAAACTCAATTCTATTACTCAAAAAGATATTTATCCTTTGCCACGTATTGATGATGTTATTGAACGTTTGAATGGATCACACAGTTTTTCTAAAATTGATTTACGTAGTGGATATTTTCAAGTCCCATTAGATAGTGAAGAACGTAATAAAACAGCATTTATCACTCATGATGGCCTATGGCATTTTAATCGTTTGCCACAAGGTTTAAAAAATTCTCCATCAGTGTTTCAAAGATTAATGAATAATACACTTGGCTCATTACGTTGGGATGTCTGTCTCGCTTATTTAGATGATGTCGTTATTTATTCGCGTTCTTTTAATCAACACCTGATAGATGTTGGCAACATTTGTCACGTATTACATGAGTCAAATTTTAAATTAAATTACAACAAATGTTCAATTTTTCAACAGGAAATTTCTTTCTTAGGATATACGATTAGTGCAGCTGGTTGTTCTCCGAATGATGATAATGTTCGTGCGATTTTACAATTTCCAGTACCTAAATCGAGTAAAGCTGCTCA